AGGGATCTACACTGGAGCCAGGAAACGACAGGCAAAGTAAGAACCACAGCTCCCCCAAAGGTACCACAGCCATCCTTAGCAACAGTGAGGTCCCGAGCTCCTCCAATGATGAAAACAGCTGAATTCCTGTCAGGAAAGCCAACATGACAAGCTTCTTCAGGAGACAGAGCTGTGCACCGTCCTCCCCTCTGGAGCCAGGAAGCGATGCTCAGAGTGAAGACCGGAGCTCTCCCAAAGTGAACCGAAGATATTCTCAGTGTCAACAAGGTCCTGAGCTCCTCAGAGGATGAAAACAGCCAAGTTCATCAGGAAAGCCAGTACAACGAGCTCCTCCAAAACAACCCAACAGCTCCTTATCGCTTCTACCAGTTCCCAACTGCCTTTTTCTGCTCCCAACAACCTCACTTCTTCTTCTCCCGTTCTGCCTGTTATCCTGCCGGCAACAGTCCGCAGGCGGGCCTCCCACACCCAGCACCATGCTTACTCAGTTCAGCTGGGGGTTCTAAATTGCCCACCAGTTGTCAATCCACTAGTCATAGTTTGAGCCCATTAGGCCAATAAAGGGTTGTTATCTCACCTAGGTGAAGCTTTTAAGAGTTCTTATCTTTTAGTCTGAATGGGTATTTATTTTTTTAGTGTCCATAGACCTTATATCTTGTATATTGGTCTTTGGCCAGAAGGTATGGCTGTCTATCAGATTGGCTTTCTGGCAGATATCAGGTGCTTCTTGTGCAATGAAGGCTGCATCTACTATCTGTAGATTTTCTGGGGCCTCAGGGTCAAAGCAGTGTAGATCCTGTAGGATTTATAGAGTTGCTCATAAAAGTCTGAAGGGCTTTTATTAAGCTTCTGGGTAATACTGTTCACTTTTAACATATTGATGGGCTTTTTGCCCCCCTGTTTGATATCTTTGGGAAGGCTTGACTGGATTGCTTTGTTTCTTTTTGCTGGGGTTTTTGCTTTGTTTCTTTTTGCTAGTATGTGGGTGGTTAGCACATCTATACTAATTACTGGGTGTTTTGTAACTATTACCCCTATGTTCTCATAGGTCATGACCTCTCTAGTTCCCAGGCTCTCCTTTGCTTGGATAACGCATATAAAATAACTCTGAACTTATACTATGAACTATGAACTTACGCTCTGAACTATGCAAACCGTATGTTTCTTCTGCAACTTTGAAGGGTACTGTGAAGTACAGTGTTTGGTATCCAACTCAGCTCAAAATGATATATGGAGTGTAAAAATTGGAGTGTAACCCACATTTCACATTAGACGAGACTTGTTGTGTGATGATAAACTTACCAGGACTGTATTCTACTTTGAGGTATCTAGTATGCACACGTGGGGACATGGTGACAGTCAAAGCCAGAGCCAATCCTGTGGCTGCCTAAGATTTGGCAGATTGTGGGATACAATGTGCGCATAGACAGTGCTTTTGAGTTTTCAATCTGTGGGACTAAGGTTGTGTTCAAAGTCAGGGGTAAAGCCAGCCTTTCAAACTGAACAAGATTCAGCAATATGTGTGCTGTGGTAGACGGGTCTATGTTCAGCCTGAAGGGTTCTAATCTGCATATCCTTGGGTACAGCAAAGGCCCAAGGCTTAGCCTATCTCTGTGATGCTTGGGAATGTGGTGGCAAGAAGTCAAATCACCAAGTTCTGTGCTGGCGGAGAAGTCACAGGAACTAAGTGATTTGCTAGCCTCATTCCCAGTGTTTTGGGATGAGGTCTTCAGTGACCAGCCAGGAATGGTGCTGCTTCTCACTGTGTTGGGCGAAATTGCTAGCTGCTGTGCCCTCTCCCTGTACCTATAACATCCTGCGCCCATTTTTGATTATATTTTTTATTTTTGGTGCACTGATTTTGTGAGTGCTTTACATATTCTAAATATGAGTCCTCTGTGTAAGGGGTAGCTGGTAAAATTTATTCCCATTTTTTTTATGGATGACTACAAGTAGAAAATCCTTGTGTTACAGCTATTGTTTCTTCTTAATTCTTTTTCCTTTTATTGAGATAACACCAATGCCTGAAATACTTGTTTCTGAGCATGTAGCATATATGGACCACTGCCAAAACTGGGTTGCATGTTAAAATCTAACTGAATTTCAGAGCAGCATGACTGAATCCCAGTGATTATCCTTCCATTGCTTTCCAGTAGAATTTAGCCAAAGTGACTTGAGTGACTTTCA